GATGCTAACATATGCCAGATGCTAACAGGTAGTGCGAGCCTGTAGAAATTGCGACTATCTCCAATGACAGCGTAGGATCGATCCAAGTCCGTCTGATAAATGCTAAAGACCTGGAAGACATTATCCAACATCTGAAATCCTCCTCCTGTAGCCTCGATATCATCCCGACCGGATGATCAAAACTGTTTTTCATTGCTTGGCCTCAGATATACTACACATAGTAAACAAGTCTCTTCAATCAGGTGTATTTCCACAGGCCCTGAAAACTGCAATAATTAAACCACTCCTAAAAAAGCATAACCTAGACAAAACCATAATGAATAACTACAGGCCAATATAAAACCTTCCCTTTTTAAGCAAGTTGATTGAAAAAGCAGTTTTTCAACAGTTGAGTAATTTCATGTTTTTAACTGACGGTATTGATGTGTTTCAGTCAGGCTTTCGACCTAACCACAGCACTGAGACTTCACTTGTTAAGGTCTTAAATGACATCCATTTGAACACAGACAGTGGCAGAATATCAGTGTTAGTATTATTAGATCTCAGCGCTGCCTTTGATACTGTTGACCACAACATATTGCTAGACCGTCTTGAAATCTGGGTGGGAGTTTCAGCAACAGCTCTAAACTAGTTTAGTTCCTACTTAAAGGACAGAACAAACTTTGTCTCAACAGGCAATTACAAATCAACACTGATAAATATGTCATGCGGGGTTCCTCAAGGCTCCATCTTAGGACTTTTGCTTTTTAATATTTATATGCTACCTCTGGCTGAAATTATTAAAAAGAGCGATCTAAGCTATCACATCTATACAGACGATACCCACATTTATTTAAAAATTACACCGGGAGACTATTCTCCGATTAGAACACTGAGCAAGTGCATTGAGCACATCACTGACTGGATGACTCAGAACTTTCTCCAATTGAACAAACAAAAAACTGAGATCATTGTTTTTGGAGCAAAGAAGGACCGATTAAAAGTAATCGCAGAGCTTCAGTCGGCAGACTACAAAATAACTCACAAAGCCAGACATCTGGGTGTAGTGATGGACTCAGACCTGAATTTTAACAGTCACATTACAACAGTTATTAGGTCTGCATACTACCACCTGAAGAATATATCACGGATTAAAAAACTAATGTCGCAACAGGATTTAGAAAAACTTGTCCATGCTTTTATTTTCAGTAGACTCGACTACTCAGATCATACCTCACCGGGAGAACAGAGTACGTCTCCTTGGGCGAGGCAGAGTCGGGTACCCACAACGTTAACTGTGGTGTCCCTCAAGGATTAGTTCTCGGCCCCAACCTCTTCACACTCTACATGCTCCCCCTTGGCTCTATCATCAGCCGACATGGAGTATCGTTCCATTGCTACGCTGATGACACCCAACTGTACCTCAGGATCAACCCTACCTCCTCTGCAGCCCTGCCTTCACCTCCTCTGCAGCCCTGTCTTCACCTCCTCTGCAGCCCTGCCTTCACCTCCTCTGCAGCCCTGCCTTCACCTCCTCTGCAGCCCTGCCTTCACCCACACTCACTGCCTGCCTGGAGGAGATACGGCGTGGATGAAGAAAAACTTCCTGAAACTCAACAGCTCCAAGACCGAAGCCATTATAGTTGGCACCCCACACCAAGTTCGGTCATCCACCATCACCACCATCACCTTCTCCGGCCAGGACATTCCCCTCTCCTCAATAGTCACCAACCTGGGTGTTAAAATGGACGCCCATCTGATCAGAAGCTCCAGTACATTCAGAATAGCGCTGCTAGGATCCTGATGAGGGTGCGCAAATACGATCACATCACCCCCATCCTTAAAGCACTACACTGGCTCCCCGTGGAACTGAGGATCGAATTCAAGGTCTCCGTCCTCACCCACCAGTGTGTCCATGGAACTGCCCCCCCCCCTACCTCAAGGAACTCCTCACCCCCCATACCTCCTTGCGGACCACCCGCTCCAGCAAAACCAACCTCCTCAGACCCCCCAGGACTAAGCTCCGTACTATGGGAGACCGGGCTTTCTGCTCGGCTGCAACGCTCTCCCCGACAGCATGAGAGCACCACAGACCATGGAGGCTTTTAAAAAAGCCCTCAAACCCCATCTGTTCAATAGAGCCTTTCCCTAGACCTTTTATTTATTTATTACCCCCCTTTTATTTTACATTACATTACATCAGATTGCATTTAGCTGACGCTTTTATCCAAAGCGACTTACAATAAGTACATTCGACCAGGAAGACACAACCTTGAAGAAAACAGAATCATATAAGTATATCAGGTTTCATAGAGCCAAACATTTCAAGTGCTACTCAACTGGCTTTGCGCACCTCCGCCAAAAAAAGAGCACCGTGTCATTTGAAAAAAGGCGCATTTGCGTACCAACGTTGAGAGAAAGAGGGAGAGAGAGAAGAGAGTGAAGGAAGAAGAGAAAATAGAGAAGAGAGGAGAGAGGAGAAAGAAGAGAGAAGAGAGAAGAGAGAGAGAGAAATATATTTTCGAGTTGCATATGAACTCAGGGCCGGCCCGTAGCACTGGCGTAATAGATGTTCGCCTAGGGCGCCAGATCTGGGGAGGCGCTGCGCTGGCTCTGCTAACAACAGCGATACACGTAAGGTCTCTCCCGGTCCTCCCGATGGCCAGTCCGGGCCTGCCGGTGAGCGTGGAAGTGTGGTCTGCCGCAAGCGGACGGCAGGAGCGGGGCTCTCAGCATCAGCTTGTAGATGGTATTTTAAACTCGATGCGCTCTGAAGCTACGGGGCGGCCGAGGACAAAAAATACACATGCGTTAATCGCGTTAAAATAATTAGTGGCGTTAATTTTTTTTTGCGTTAACGCGTTATTAAAGCCCTAATATATATATATTTATTCGTTTTATGTGGAAATGCACTACGAGGATTGCTTTTTAAAATGTCGTTGTACCTGGTGCGATGACAATAAAGGAATTCTATTCTATTCTCTATTCTATAATGTATTTGTGCTGTATTTGTTCTTAAATGTCGTTTGCTTTTAATCTGTAAAGCACTTTGAATCACCACGTGCTGAAAAGTGCTATATAAATAAAATTGCCTTGCCTTGCCTTACCGGAGAAAGTGGAGCAATATTCTCGCCATGCCAAGCAACAGCCAGAACAACCTCAACCTATACAAGTAACCTCGTAAGCCATGCTACTGATGCTGGACAGGTTTTCAGTGGCTGCACATTAAACGGCAACAAACACATTAATGTGAATAAATAGCCAAATAATGGATCACCGCTCTCTGTCTAATATGTTCGCTAGCTGTTAGTGTTGTTGCATAGCAACCACCTCGCACTATGTTTCGTGCAGAAGGCAATGGAGGGACTATTTTATTTTGAACATCATTATTTACTAATAAAAACTATTTAAAGTGTGTATTTTTCTTTCATATTGCCACACGTGGTAACCGTTTTATAAAAGCAATAGCTCACTTCAGGCCGTGATATATGGTCATTATATCACAGCTAAGGGGGTTGAACCACGCCCCCTAGCTGTGATATACTGACCATATACCACGGCCTGTCGTGAGCTATTGCTTAAATATACTAAATAGTTGCATTGGGTTTTTAGCACCTGGCGGATAAGGGCACAAGCTCTTACGTTGGTAATGATTGTATAAAAGCAAGGGTGATCAATAAACAGATACACCATCAGTTAGAGAGTCAGACCATCATTCAGCCGGGACGCTACAATTACGATAGTGAATGTTTAAATTCTATCAATAAAGATTAAGCCCCAGAAAGCACATGGCTACTTAGCACATGGCTACTTAGCACATGGCTACTTAGCACATGGCTACTTAGCACATGGCTACTTCACATGCAACATGACATCATTCTGCATGCTAAGTAGCCATGTGCTTTCGTGTTATCGGCTGAATCTTTATTTATTGATAGGATCACGTTACTTAGATGATAGTGTTCAAGACAGCCTATATGTCTGAACTCGATCCTTAGAGTAATGTGTTACGGAGCCTTCTCTTCAATCTCTTTTCCACATAACGAGCATTTTGCTCTTTCCCAATGTGGAAGCAGAATGTGTGAAAGCATACAGCGCGATGCGGGGTGTGTCTCTAGACATCTCTAGACTGGAACAGCGGGGCCCAGTGCGTGAACTCGCCTCGCAGGTAAACATGCCAAGATAGAGGACATCAGACTCCAGAGAAAACTTGCTCGAGTCCGAGTCGGAGCGTCAATGTACAAGTCGAGTCATCGTGGGGGGGGTACATTCATGAGTCCGAGTCCAAGTCATCATACGCAAGAATTCACGAGTCAGAGTCCGAGTCCAAGTCATCGTGCACGAGAATTCACGAGTCCAAGTCCGAGTCGCGTCAATCAGTGCGCGAGTCCGAGTCGAGTCACGAGTCACAAAAATCGGCACTCAAGTCCGACTCGAGTCCAAGTCCAAGACATCTCTGTCCTCAGGTATGTACCCTCAGGTGTGCATGTACCCTCAGGTGTGCATGTAACCTCAGGTGTGTATGTACCCTCAGGTGTGCATGTACCCTCAGGTGTGCATGTACCCTCAGGTGTGCATGTACCCTCAGGTGTGTATGTACCCTCAGGTGTGTATGTACCCTCAGGTGTGTATGTACCCTCAGGTGTGTATATACCCTCAGGTGTGTATGTACCCTCAGGTGGGTGTATGTACCCTCAGGTGTGGATGTACCCTCAGGTGTGGATGTACCCTCAGGTGTGTATGTACCCTCAGGTGTGCATGTACCCTCAGGTGTGCATGTACCCTCAGGTGTGCATGTACCCTCCGGTGTGTATGTACCCTCAGGTGTGTATGTACCCTCAGGTGTGTATATACCCTCAGGTGTGTATGTACCCTCAGGTGTGTATGTACCCTCAGGTGTGTATGTACCCTCAGGTGTGGATGTACCCTCAGGTGTGGATGTACCCTCAGGTGTGTATGTACCCTCAGGTGTGTATGTACCCTCAGGTGTGTATGTACCCTCAGGTGTACCCACAGCTCACCTTGACTCCGACCCACTTGGAGTACTGCTCGGTGCAGATGACCCGGGTTATGTTGCTCGGCGCTAAATCAGCAACACGTTTAGGAGGCATGCCGAAGGCTTCGAGGCAGTCGTCAGCGTAGAACTGGTACGGCTGCCAGGACACACCTGAGACCATCAAGTAATATTATTATAAACAGGAAGTAAACAATGACAGAAACACACCTGAGACCATCAGGTAATATTATTATTATAAACAGGATAAACTTTTGACCCTTCATTTCAGTTCCACATTGTAGCGACCAGGGAGGGGGGGGGGGGGGGGGTTGATATATCCAGTCTTTGTTTGTTTGGTTGTGTTGCGTTATTATGATTGCTCTCATACTTGTTTGATTCTGAAATTGTATATATTTATATAAGTACATATATATACCCTAACCCTATTCTCAGGAGACGTCTGACAGTGGTGCGGTTACCCAAAGTGACAGAGCCCCAACGACTGTAAGCAGGGTCCCACAGGCACACAGGCAGAGATCCAGGGTGATGCACATGGCTTTCTTAACCAGGAATGAGTGTGTGAAAGCTGGGTAAAAGTGCTGTGAATACAGGGAGGGAGAGGGAGCAGCAGCAGCAGCAGCAGCAGCAGGCTGTGACCCAGAGAGCTCCTTCCAGCACCTCGCTCTCCCACCACCCAGAGGACAGGCTGCTTCACAGCACTATGTAACCCAGGAAAGAAGCTTGAAACCTCTCCATTTCATCCACATTTGACTCATGAAATGTACAGCAGAGTCACTGCTGTAAGCAGGGTCCCACACTCACAGGCACACAGGCAGAGATCCAGGGTGATGCACATGGCTTTCTTACCCAGGAATGAGTGTGTGAAAGCTGGGTAAAAGTGATGTGAACAGAGGGAGAGAGCAGCATTTCACAGGCATTTCACAGGCACATAGGCAGAGATCCAGGGTGATGCACATGGGTCAGAAAAAGTCTAAGTTAACTTTTGGAAGAACCAGAGAAAAGGGTGAAAATGGATAAAAATGTATCCCAAAATAGTGTCTCTTAAGGCGGATATAGTCCCCTGACAACTCCCGTTACATTCCTCCAGAGTCAGAAAAAGTCCAAGTTATCTTTTGGAAGAACCAGAAAAAAGGGGTGAAAATTGATAAATTGTACCCCAACATAGTGTCTCTTAAGGCAGATATAGTCCCCTGACAACTCCCGTTACATTCCTCCAGAGTCAGAAAAAGTCCAAGTTATCTTTTGGAAGAACCAGAGAAAAGGGGTGAAAATGGATAAATTGTACCCCAAAATAGTGTCTCTTAAGGCGGGTAAAAGTTATGTGAATATGGGGTGACGTATACTGTATGGACACTTGAGCAACAACAAGACCCCCACCTCCATAACCTTGTGCACCAGGCGAACCTGTGTACCCACACTTAAACACTCCCCCACGGACTACACCAAGAGGGAACACCGGTCAGAAGTTCGTGCCCCTGGTAAGACTGAATAACAAAAATTCCATTAAACATGCATAGAGCACCCCCAAGTGTTGGTTTACAGTTGGTAAAATGTGTCATGCCGGTGGTAGGGACTTTGCATTGGAAGTTGACATCACATTTCCATTGTGCGGACATGTGTACATTTGAAGGACAAGTCCCATGTTAACTCTGTCCATAAGGCAGACCTTTTCCTTACACGAGCAAACAGGCTATGTCAGACTTCCATGAAATACACCGGGAAAATCACCTCTCTGTGGCGGCTCACAGACCCCCAAATCACGGACTAAGCAGCTCCAGCATCTCTCCCTGACATGCGTACTTCCATAACATCGCGCACCTTGGGTCCCCGGGCCCCCGAACTTAAGCACTTCCCCACGGACTAAACCCAGATGATCACACCCTCAAGAACCTCGTGCTCCTGGGAACCTTAAAGGGGGGGTGGAGTTTGCGGTGCTTTATCGTCCGCCCATCGGCATTCATATTCATCCTTATTCACAGCAGCACCACCCACCCTCCTGTGGAGGATGTTGTCATGGCCCTGGTAACCCTTTAAATAGTCTGATACTACCACTGCACTTTAGAAGCCAGAAATAGTGTTTAAATTGTCAATTTCCAGGAGAGCTTCAATGTTAAATAATATCTTGCAAAATGACAGGCTAAAACCCAGTAATAAGTGTTTCAAAGGCGGGGAAAAGTTGTTTAAAATAGTCTGATACCTCCAGGGTGCATCACCACATTTTACAAGCCAGGGAAGGTGTCTGAATCCTGGGTAAACTTTGTTTAAATAGTATGATACCTCCAGGGCTCATCACTGCACTTTACAAGCCAGAAATAATGTTTAAATGGTCGGGAAAAGTGTTTTTAAACGTTTGGAAGAGATTGTTAGCCTGTCGTTTTGCAAGATATCATTTAACATTGAAGCTCTCCTGGAGATGGACAGAATATGTCAATTTACAGGAGAGCTTCAATGTTAAATCATATCTTGCAAAATGACAGGCTAAAACCCAGGAATAAGTGTTTGAAAGGCGGGAAAAGTTGTTCAAAATAGTCTGATACTTCCAGGGCGCATCACCACATTTTACAAGCCAGGGAAGGTGTCTGAATCCTGGGTAAACTCTGTTTAAATAGTCTGATACCTGGCACTGTATCAACCCCTGGGAATCTTCAAGGTTATATAAATGTTTTTTTATATATTTAATTATCACATTATTTTTACAAAAACAGTATACACAATATGCATAATAAACATAAAAATAACATGATTAAAACATGATTAGCGGGGGCCATATTAGCCGTCTAACTTGTACAGTGCACCGAGGGAAAAAGGCTGAGTCCACGGCCTCTACCCCCACATCAGGAGTATCAACCGGCCCTGAAGAAGAGGTATCGCTGCTATCTGCCCCTGAGCCCTCTTCGGAGGTATCTGACGGCGGTAGAACTCCTTCCGATGATGCTGCTGCAGCTGCTGCCGCCCTGAACATGGAGCGGATCTTCAATCCCTCCTTTATTCCAGGCGTATTCACGTAGAACTGGTCTGCAGTGCTTACGTCGTGACACATAAACCTGGCGAGAATCAACCTGCTTTCTGGATCTTGGTGATGCTTGATATTGTCTGCCAGGGCAGTGCGCAGGATTGTGAAGGTGACGGCTGTTTCTAGCACAGCATCAGCCCAAGCCCTCTTCAAGTGAGCGTTCAGGTTCTTGGAGGCATGCTTCCCCGTTGTGAAAAGGAAGAATTCATTCTGAGGACCCGACAAGCCCTCTTTTATCCCCATCCACCGCATGACCCAGCTAAACTCCTTTACTGTAAGCACCAGCTGTGCTTCGCCAAATGTCTTGGCAGTCTTGTGATCCTGCACATGGATGATGTAGCCCTCAGCAGTGCCCCTTAAGTCCGCCTCTAACACCTCAGTGTTGGTCATGTTTGCGTACACACCCGGACGGTGGCCATACAGTAGGCTCCAATGGAGGGTTAGATAGCCATATAGCAGGTACTGGGTGATTGAGGTCGGGTTGCAAGCCATCAGGTCAAGCAGATCAGGGATGCGCTTCTCAGCGGCCGCCATGGCGGCGAGAAGCACCGCCTGGCTCGGCAGACGATCCAGCTTGTTCCTCTTCATCTTGAACTGGTGGACAGTGACAGACTTTTTCAAGTCTTTCATGTTGGCTTTCACCTCTCTGATGATGTGGGTCATATCAAACTGGGTGAGCCTGCACCCCCGGAGCTTTGACTCAGACAAGTACCTCAGGAAATGGTTCACATTCTTCAGGAACAACAGCGATGTTGTGACTGCCCGGCCCGACTTTACAATATACTCGCTCCAGCCACGGACCCTCTCCGTGTCTTTTAGGAACAGCCAATCGGACAGCCGGTTAACACCATGGGCCATGAATACGAGGAAGTTCTTTATCCGGCTGACATTGGACAGACAATTTTCTTTCCGTTTTACTGTCGGTGCGACACCCTCAAAATGATGCCTGTATGTCTGAATGTACGTCTCCATGCTTTGAGGCAACGTGATTTCACTCATGGTATTCCCCCGTCCCTTCCCAGTGGACCAGTGAGGAGAGGGCCAGTCCTCATTACAGGAGGCTGCTGGGGGCCGCATGACAGTCTTGACAGGGCTCTTGAGAGGGGTCTGACTACGGGAGGCTGATGGGGACCGCATGACAGTCTTGACCGGGGTCTTGAGAGGGGTCTGACTACCGGAGGCTGCTGGAGACCGCATGACAGTCTTGACCGTGGTCTTGAGAGGGGTCTGACTACCAGAGGCTGCTGGAGACCGCATGACAGTCTTGACCGGGGTCTTGAGAGGGGTCTGACTACCGGAGGCTGCTTGAGACCGCATGACAGTCTTGACCGGGGTCTTGAGAGGGGTCTGACTTCCGGAGGCTGCTGGAGACCGCATTACAGTCTTGACAGGGGTCTTGAGAGGGGTCTGACTACCGGAGGCTGCTGGAGACCACATGACAGTCTTGACCGGGGTCTTGAGAGGGGTCTGACTACCAGAGGCTGCTGGAGACCGCATGACAATCTTGACCGGGGTCTTGAGAGGGGTCTGACTACAGGAGGCTGCTGGAGACCGTATGACAGTCTTGACCGGGGTCTTGAGAGGGGTCTGACTACCGGAGGCTGCTGGAGACCGCATGACAGTCTTCACCGGGGTCTTGAGAGGGGTCTGACTACCGGAGGCTGCTGTGGTTATGCCGGAGGTACTTGAGATTGCCAGGCCCTTAAATCGTATACTTTCTTCCTCTTCCTCAAGCACAGCAGCAGTGGCACACTGCTTCCTGGGTTTTAGCCCCTTTTTCAGCCTGGAGCGCAGGGTCTTCACCTCATCAATGAGGGCATCCTTCTGAGCCCTCAATGCCACATTTTCCAGCATCACCTGCCTGCAGTCCTCTTCGTCACACTCAGTATGTGGGGAGAAGGGTGGAGGGTGCACCGGGTATTACTCCTCATTGTCTATATCCAATGATGTAGCCATTCCAATGATGGGATTAGTCTCTCTGAGGTCATGGAGCAACTGCAGGGCCACACTATGCTTCAGCCTTGCCAGGACCTGATGTTCCTCATCTCGGGATAACTCAGGGTGGCCATGAGTCACATGACAGTCCAGTTTATTCCCAGCATACGAACACCCTGTGATGGGACAGGGTTTGGTCCGA